TTGGTGGAAGAAGAAATATGGAGTATAACATTAAGATGTATTTTTCAAAGATCTATTTCAAGCTATCATCTGTAGTTCTTCTGTATCCATGTCATCTTTAGGTAGACTGATGCTCTGTAAAACTATCAATAAAGACAATGACTACATATTCTTTCCAAAATTAATTTAAAGGTTACAGTTGTCCAGGATGGAAAAGCAACTGTCAGCAGGTGTTCTTGTTTGGTTTTCTATTAAATTGAGGGGGGGGGGGGAATCAAGGTTCACATAATCTCTACCTCTGATAGATCTGTATTTCTAAAATGATTTGTTATTGAAAAGAGTTAGTAATTTCAGTTGGTGTCAGGCATTTACTCTATCTCAAGTAATTTATAGTCCATTTCTTCTACTACAGATCCACAAGTAGTAATAAGTTTCTTGGATCACCTTGATTTCAAATTTTCTGTTGAAAGTTTGGGACAGCTCATCCAGTAGGTGCTGTGGACAGACGTGTGAGAGCTGTGAACGGGAAGGAGTAGTGATGTGATCACAGAAGTGATGAGGAGTCAGCCTGGCCAGCAGTTGGCAGCTCCCACCCTTGGATTAAGGATTGAGGAAATGAGCCCGGGTGTGACAGTGTAGGTGCACGTAGCCTTGAGGGCTCAGCAAAAGCCATGTGATTTCTGCAGGGCAGGATGTCACGGTGTGCAGTTGGAGAAATTTAACAGCTTGATGCTGCTCAGGGTGGGAAGGCTCACTCCCTCTGCCTACTATTCCATTTCTCTGTTCCCTTTGCTCCTGTTGGTGTAATCTGCTCCATCCTCTGATACAGATCTTGAGTCTGTGATGCTCAGTTGAGAAAACCTTTTTGTCACTGAACTGGCTACATTGTCTCATAGAAGACATGACAAACACCTTCACACATGCAGGATAAGAAGCAGAAGCACACAGCCAGGAGAGAATAAGGACTGGGAGAGAGGGGGAAAAGGAATAGAGGGAGACCCTCACTTTTTCTGCTGCAATGTGATTCTGCATTGAGCCGCCAGGACTGGTGACACTGCATTGTTTTCTGCTCCTTACTAAACTATCTGGGATGGACTTGCTGAAAACATTACCAGTATAGATGAATCTTTGCCCTGGCCCAGTATGGGATCACATTACATTTACAGTATTTTGTCCTTTTCCTCATTTTTAGCTTTGTAGGAATGGCAGAAGGGAAGTCCTGCCTATCCTAGTTTGGATCTCTGAAAATATTATCCCTGAGAGGTTTTCAGTGAAGCTGAAGTCTCCCTGGATGGCTTAAGCCCATGTCATCCTACCCATTGCATTGTTCATCTGCAACATGTTTCATTCTCAGTCCAAGTTAACTCTGGTGTGTCATCTGTGCTCATCACTCTGAAGAACAGACACACAATCCTGCTTAGATCTATATTTTCAGTTTGAAGAGATGGCAGCTTTCATTTATCTGGCCAATAGAATTGTTTTAGTCAAAAACAAAACCAGCAAGAAAATATTCAGCCAAATACTGATTTTGTCTAAGACCAGGTTGGAGGGAATTCTGTAAAAGGATTCACAGCAATATTTGGGAAGAAACAGACAAGAGTCCACATGAGACTCAGAGAAGGAGGCATTCAGTGTCCATCACTAGTGGCACAGGACTTCATGCATCAACCATCGGAAGCTGGCTTCTAACAACCTTAAGGCTAACATTTATTTAATAAAAAGATTTAGTATTTTCTATGAATTCTTTTTAAAAAGAACTGAAATTCTTAAACAGACTTTATGCTAAAGGCAACTTAAGCAAGGCTTTGCTTTGTTTTGTTTCCAGTTAAGTGCAAGAGAACATATCTTCATTTCTTTGCATTGAGATGCAAATTAGAGATAATATTCTTTAGCATTATGGTGAGGTAATTTACAAGAGACTGAAACAAGCCTTTAGTGACATACAGGCATTATAATATTAAAGGAAGCAAAAAATAATTGATCAGATATTTTGCTTCCTACAGGCAACAGAGAAGAAATGGAGCACCTGCACAAAGTTCATTTGTGTGTATTACTGCTGTGGTGGAGAGATGGATGGTGATGGGGGCAGTGCTGTGCAGATGAGTGGGAGGAGTGGGGGAGGACGTGAAACAAGGTAACTTAGAGCCATTTCTGTGCTCATTTGCCTCCTGCATTCCCAATCAACTTCCAAAATAAATTAGAGAAGATGAAGAATGTCTCCAACTTACACCAGCTGCCAGTTGCCTTGCACAATTAAAATGTGCAGAGAGGTACTGCTGTGCTCCACGATCTGCAGGGGCCATGGAAGCTCACAGCATTGCTGCTGTATCCTCAACAGGCCCCTCTGCCTGTCCTGCAGGACAATGCCATGCTCATGCAGCAGCAGGATTCTGTCTGGGGGTGCTCCGTCCTGCTCTGGAACTGCACTAATGTCTGAGCACAAATTTCCTTTTCTCCACCTCTGTCCTCAGTCCAGCTCAGCACATATATAATTGAAGATGGCACAGAGGAGTTGCTGTAAAGTCAGCAATAAAGTGATGATAATGACAGTGACCCTCTTCTCCTTTGCAAAAATTGCCTGATTTTTGAGGCAGAGAAGATGGGGATGTCCTTTTATTGTGTAGTTGATAGAGCAAATATTTATTAGATGATGAAAATAAGAAAGATAACTAAGAAAACAAACAAACAAAACCAAACCAAAACCAAACAAACCAACAGAAAAACCAAACCAACCCCCCCCCCCCCGAAAAAAAACCCAAACCAACCAATCCCCTGACACCTTCACATTTGCATTTATTTGGAAAAAAACCCAAACTTTCTCACATATTCTAGACATGAAGCAGTAATGCTCTGTGTGCCCCATTTATTTCCATAAGTAATTTCATATATATGTATATATGTATGTACTGTGGGATTACAAAGCTTGGTACAAATTATACAATTCATATGCAAAAAAAAATATTATCTGATGCTAGATTGTGTCATTCTGTTTAATAAGTTGGCAGAAATAAGTATCTAACTGACATTTCGTCTTCTCAACCCCTCCTGAGGCTCGGCGCCACAGTCGGTCTTCCTGCGGATCGCGCCCACCAGGAGATGGCACTGAAGAACTTGTCCTACAGACGGACCCGAGAAGGCAAAAACGCAGCCTCACAAACCGCCTCTGTGTTTGGGAATACGAAATAATTCGATAGGTATCTCTCCTCGGTAGTATTTGCTTTTAGGAAGGACTCAAGGCTTTGGGTTGTTTTTTTAATTTTGTTCTCTAAACATGATGAAGAGGCTAAAAGGAAACCAACCTCAGTACCTAGTGAGTGCCATCTGGGTTTACCTAGTGAAGCACATTGTAGTTTTCTGAAGTAAGTCCTACAACACTGATAAGCTTTCAAAAACAAGATCTTATGAGCAAAAAGTGTTCTTCTCATATAATTATTTTTTATAACACCTGCGTTCTGAATGAACAATCAGTTCATTGAAAGTTCTTTTGAATAGAACTATAATTGTGACTGAAAAAAAGGCATTTTAGCAACTTCAGGTGGAAACTTTTTTCAAACTCTAATAAAAAATGCAAAGGATTTTCTAGTGACATGAATATTTCCACCTTTTAAACCCTTATCTGATATATGCTAAACCTTTCTTTGGCTTCTTGAAGAATTGCAATAAATTCATACTCATGTCTTAAAATGCAAGAACGGTGCTTTCAGATAGGATCCTATTATTGAATGACAGGTGAAGGGATGTAAATCTTTCAGATGTAGAAGCAAAGACACGAGAAGAAATTAGCCATATATAATACTTTTGGGGGAAAGTCTAGTTACTTAAGAAAATTCAGAGATTACAAGATGGAAACTTGCTCACATTTCTTTCTCTCCAGTAGCTGTTAGTTCCCATGAAGATTGATGAAAATGTCTTCAACATGATCTAAATGGCACTTATGCCTCAGGGTTCACTTCACGTCTTTTGATGCGTCCCTGATCAGGCTTTGTTTTGGGAGGTGTGATGGTATAGGACCATTAACCGTTACCAGTAAGTGCTAATGTTAATTACATTAAGCACAATCCTCCAGTTGGTCCATCTGTTACTCATTTTTTATGTGCTACCTATTATTGTTTGGGGTTTTCTCTGTGCTCCGGGAGAATATCTTCTGGTTTTCTTATTGGCTTTATTTAAAATACGTTAATTTATGTATGCCTCGATAAAATGCTTTAACACATTTCAAATTTAGCTTTCATTTTCTACAGTATTTTAAAAATAATATTTTTGCTTGTGGTTTTAGTATTTAGTTAGGGCGTTGCACCTCAATGTATATCTTAGTAAACTAATTCGACATCTTGTATTTCATATAGTGTGCATCTTGAAAATTATCAGTGTCATATTTTTAGATGAATTTGGGCTGTTTTCCTCACATTTTAACATCACGATTTGTTCTTTTGTTATCACTGTGTGCAATTTACATAGGTTTTAATTTCCCTCGCTGTATTTCCCTTTATTTTCCTGGTACTAAACTGAAATTTGTATTTTCGGTATTATTCACCTGCTGCTTTACTTCTGGTCGCGTTCAGCCGTGCCACTAGCTGAAGGCGCAGGGACAGGCTGCTGATCTCTGCGCTTCGTGCGCCACCACAGCTAATTACTGCAGAGTCCCAGACCGGCAGAAAGCGGGCAGATTAGGATTTAGATAATCGCAGCGTGTTTAAACTGGGGCTCCTCGCTGCTGCAGCCGCCACCCGGGAGAGATGCGGGGCGGGCGGGCGCGAATCCGGGACGGGAGAGGGAGAGAGAGAGGGAGAGGGAGAGGGAGACGGAGAGGGAGAGGGGGAGGGGGAGAGAGAGAGAGGGGGAGGGAGAGGGGGAGGGGGGGGGGGAGAGGGAGAGGGAGAGGGAGAGGGAGAGGAAGAGGGAGAGGGAGAGGGAGAGGGAGAGGGAAAGGGAGAGGGAGAGGGAGAGGGAGAGGGAGAGGGAGAGGGAGAGGGAGAGGAGCCGGGGCAGGGACTGGAGAGGAGCCGGGACAGAGACGGGCAATGAGCTGGGAGAGGAGCGGGTACGGAGCCGGGGCAGGAACCGGGGAGGAGCCGGGGCAGAACGGACGAGGAACTGGGGCAGGAATGGGTGCCCAGCCGGGAGAGGGACAGGCGTGGAACCGGGGCAGAAACGGGCGTGGAGTGGGGCAGAACGGGCGAGGAGGAGCCGGGGCAGAATGGGTCCCCAGCCGGGGCAGAACGGGCGAGGAGGAGCCGGGGCAGAACGGGCGAGGAGGAGCCGGGGCAGGGACGGGCGAGGAGCCGGGGCAGAACGGACGAGGAACTGGGGCAGGAATGGGTGCCCAGCTGGGAGAGGGACAGGCGTGGAACCGGGGCAGGAACGGGCGTGGAGTGGGGCAGAACGGGCGAGGAGGAGCCGGGGCAGAATGGGTCCCCAGCCGGGGCAGAACGGGCGAGGAGGAGCCGGGGCAGAACGGGCGAGGAGGAGCCGGGGCAGGGACGGGCGAGGAGCCGGGGCAGAACGGACGAGGAACTGGGGCAGGAATGGGTGCCCAGCTGGGAGAGGGACAGGCGTGGAACCGGGGCAGGAACGGGCGTGGAGTGGGGCAGAACTGGCGAGGAGGAGCCGGGGCAGAATGGGTCCCCAGCCGGGGCAGAACGGGCGCGGAGCCGAGAGAGGGACGGGCCCCCAGCCCAGAGAGGGACGGGCCAGGAGCCGGGGCAGGGACGGGCCCCCAGCCGGGGCAGAACGGACGATGAACTGGGGCAGGAATGGGTGCCCAGCCGGGAGAGGGCCAGGCGTGGAACCGGGGCAGGAACGGGAGTGGAGCGGGGCAGAACGGGCGTGGAGCGGGGCAGAACGGGCCAGGAGCCGGGGTAGAACGGGCGAGGAGGAGCCGGGGCAGCAGCGGGCGCAGCTCCCTCTCCCGGGTAGGGGGGACTCGCCGCCCCGGGGGAATCTCCTCCGGCAGGCCCCCTCCGCCTTTGGGTCTCTCAGCCCCTCCCTGGCCGCCAGCTCACAGCCTGGCGGCTGGACAACGCTACAGAAAACCCGAATAACTGCGTTTGGGACGGGCTTAACCTGTAAATCTGAGCACGGAGAGAATGGGAAAGCTCAAGTTTGGACATTTCCCTCCTACATTCAGAAACTTTCTTAGAATTAAGCAGGAAACTGGCCCTGAGAACCAATTTATTAGTAAAATTTGAAGTTTCATTGAAGAAAACGAGGGTTTGAGGCTAAGATTCAGTTTAGGATCTGGGAAAACAAGTGTTGCAGCAGCAGGACTTCTGCTGGATTTTCAAAACCATGGGGTTAATATAGCCCTGTGTTAATGTCAAACTTGGAGCAGCTATACATGTTTGGGCACCCACAGGCTGACAGTTATCACTCAGTTTAGGTTTTGGAAATTGTAGTTTGGAGACATACGTAAGTTAAGGCTGCTTGAGGTAAGGGGAAAATAGGTTTGGAAACATATAGTGGTCTCATTCAAACCACCTGAGCAACAGGGCAGTTCAGGACAAGTTCTAGAAAATCAGATATCACCAGCAGTTTCTGTGGTGATTTGAGATGACCTCCCAAACAGTCATGTAGGAAAATAATTGAATACCTTTATTCTTAATTTTCACCTAAGTCTTGTGTTCCCTGTTATGGGCTTACACTCACAGATAGAATTAAGGGGACATGAAATACTGACAAGCACATTTCTCTCTCCAATCTGTAGGATACCCTGAGGCAAGTTCAAGGCTGGGTTTGAATGCTGTATTTCTATTTTGCAGGACTTGTAGGTGATCTTGAGCTTTCTAGAAGTCCAAGAGTAAGTGTAGCACAAGGAGTTAGGACAGTGTTGTTCACAGATGGATCTCCCCTGCAATGTTTGGCAAAGTTGCATGAGATCACTGGGGACTGGCCTCGTAAATCTGGTGCCTTGTTCTTAATTTTCAGGCAGGAGTGGTGTTGCTCTGCTTTTGTGAAGGCTTTAGGGGAATATGAGACAACTAGGACTGCAGGATCAGGTTTATGTGTGACCTTTCAAGGTCTCTTCAGAGAGGAGAAAGTGTGGTACAAAATGAAGGTTCCACCTGAAATTTCGGATAGCTCTCTTGGAAGTTAGGGTCAAGATTTGGTTTTGGGTAACCATACAAATAAATATCAAGCTGAAGTTAGGAGAAGCTAATGTGATAGTTTAAATTTTGGATCACTTTAGCAACAGTTTATTGTATCTATTTAAACACTCTAGTTACAGTGTAGAGAGCAGTACTATGCATTTCAAAGTGCACACTGGGTTAGTACTCACAGATGTGATAAACTTCAAAGTAGCCATGAGATTCTGGGGTTTGGTAAGGGCTAGTGTTAAAGTTTGCAATTCTGCAGAAGTAAGTTAAGATTTGCAAGTTACTTCAGACTGTTAGATGACGCCTGTTAGCTTGGAATCTGTAATGATGGATTTAAAGAGTTTTTTGGGCAGCAGGTGGTGCCTGGTCTCCACGATCCGTTGTGCGCTCCGGGTGTGGCTGCACGCTGCCCACGCAGCACCACTGCTGGCACTGCAGGTGCTTGTCCCTGTGCAAATCACCGAGAAAACTGGCAATTGTTGGAGGAGGGAAAGTGAATTTGGCTGCATTTGAAGCAAACCACGATGATTACAATAAGGAATATCAGAAGTTAAATGAGAAAGAACTCTCCCCCTGCCTCACGCAGCCAGAACGCTGCAGACACATCCACGCCTGAACCTGTCTCTGAAAAACAGGACGGGGAATCCACATCCAGAAAGCACACACGCACAAAGATCAGTGCTGGTGATTTCCAGGCTCCTGTGGACATCCATGGGGCGGACATCCCAAGAAAAGTGCTGAGTACAGTGGTTTCCAGCTCATCTTGCTTGGCCACAGCATTTTGAGATGGGAGTTTGCCCTCAATGCTCTCCTTTCCATTGCCATGAACTATGATAATGTTTTCAGACTTGCACAAGTGACTTGGAAGACTATGTCCCGTTTCAGAAGGTGACATAATTCATCAGAAGGACAGGGATGTCCTCCTGTGGCAGCCAGAGCAGTCCCCAGGCCAGCACTGGCTGGGAAGCCGTGGTAACAGGATGCTCTGCCTCCTCCCACTCTGCCAAGTAAGAGATGCTCAGCAGGGGAGTATGCAGTACTGGCACTGGCATGAACAGCAGTGTAAAGCTGCAGCCAGGCAAGACAAATTAGGAAATGAAAATCATGAAACAATAGACAGGGCTTTACTGTCAAAATGTGCCATGGAAATAGATGGGCTGTGAGAATTTCTTTTTTTTTAGCATGTCTCTTCATTCCTGCTGAAGATTTTAATTTTGGATCAGAAAAAAAAGGTTAAAAGGAGTAGAAGGATACTTCTTTGGCTTGTTTGGGAAGTCTATAAAGGCACATTAGACAAATGCTAGCAGTAAGGGACTAAGAATCTAACAATGCTTGGAAACAAAAAAAGGCATCATTCATATTTTTTGCTTACTATACCCTGAAAAATAAAAGCAGTGGTGTCACCAATATGCAGCCCCTGGAGGCAGGTACCTCTCCTTTGGAGCTGCTGGCCATGCTCCAGAGATCCAGAGCCCTGAGGGAGCACCCTGGCACGTCAGCGTGTGGCATGGGGATGTGACACCTGACTAGCAGGTGCATTGGAGTTCTCTCACACAGAGAAGGGAGCTACATCCACAAGCTGTATCTGTGACACGTGCATAATAACATAGTGCTCTCAGAAAAGAGAAAGATTTTCTCTGAAGTAGCCTCCATTGGCAGTTGCCATGTGCTGTGTCTGTCCCTGTAACACAAAGCAGATCCCGCCCGTGCTGAAGGCAGCGACTCCTGCACCCCTTGCAGCATATGAGAACAGCTGAGCACTTGAGGGTTTGCTTGTGCATGTATAGTTAACAAACACAAACCCATTTAAATTATTGAGAAGTTTTAAATCTAAATTTCTATTTAAATTATTCCCTTGTCAATTTGAAATATATTTTATTTTCTGAAAATACTAATATTACCTTGGCAGAACATAATGGATCTGGGCTCTTGGAAGAAGCCCTACAGGTTCCTTTGACACTGACAATTTTCAAAATTGATTTTCAAAAATTTTCAAAATTAAACTGTTTTCATTTAGATGCCAAAAAGCTGGTTAAAAATATCTGCCCCTGCAATTCCTGTAGAAATTGGGCATTTTCCCGATATGCGGTGTTTTCAATGCTGACACTTGGTGGTGCTGCAGCTAACAGGTTCATATTTTTCTGCTTCTGTTTCTTTGCTGGGACTTGTTTACTCCTCTCCTCCATTTGCCGATATGCTTGGGCCGTCATCGTGGTCCCAGAGAAAAAACTTTATTCACATTCCTGAAGAACTACAATTAATTTTTAAATTATCATTAAGAATTACCAGTTCTTAAGTTAATGATAAGAACTAGAATAACAACAACACAACTGCATTTATGGTGCAGTTTCCTTTCAAAATGCATAAGCATCATTCAAGTGAACAAGTGCAAACACAGGCAAGGTCCTGTAATTGTAAGTATCAGCCCAGAGGGGAGGCTCCAAAAATGACCTTGAGAGATCATGGAGTCCATCCTCTTCATGAAGGAGCAAAGACAGCTGGAGGTCTGCCCAACTTTCTATGGAATACCAGTGTAGGCTTTATGGGAATACCTCAAATGCTTTGGTGTGTTTCCTAAGCACGATCCTCGCCTGAGCAAAGGCAGAGGTGAAGCACGTGGAGTATGGATGCTTCAGCCCGAGAGGCCAGAAATAGTTGTGTATGCCAGCAGACACTGCAACTGAAATTGTGGCTTGTTCCAGCATTTCTGTGGGGTTCATCTGTAAGTCCATGGGTGCCAGGAGGCAATAGGAGCTGCACTCCATTGCTTTGCTCTGAGACTCTCCAGGTTTTCCTCCTGACAACCCAGAAGCTTGGCATGCCCACTGCCCTTCCCCCCGGGAGTCTTCACAGTGTTCATGGCATTAAGGAAGCCCCTGCAGGTGATCCTGGCATGATCCCAGCAAGGTTTTTCTCTTGGGAAGGAGGTGCATTCCTGCATGGCTGTGATGAAAAGCTGTCTCTGCTCCCACTGCCACAGGCTCAGCTCACCACCCTTGCACAGATCCAGACTCTGTTTCAGTCAGAAAGTAACCCATAGGGACAAATGACCTTAATTATTAGGACAAAGATTATTTGTTTAAGTGCAGAATCTTTGTATTAATACAAGAAATAATCAAGATATGTTGTTGTAATTAAATTGAATCTCTTCTTTCCTCCCTGAAGATTTCCCTCTCAATCTAATTTATTATTTGGTTGGTTAATCATTAAAGACCGAAAGCAATGGTGGTCCACACATGATAAGCATGACCTAGAGCCTGACTATAACAGGCTTCCTGGGAAGTGCTCAGGTTTCAGGCTCCAAAAAACCAATTCCGTAGCTGGCAAATTGCAGTGAACACACACGCATGGAAGAAATAAGGTTCAGGAACACAATGAATGTGCTCCTGCTGAAACAACAGAGACACTAAGCTGATGTGGAAAAATTGTCTGCTCAGGCAGGAAAATCTGCTCTTACTTGGTGGTTCTGTGTGGTGAAAGCCTCAAAACATATGGGATCAGTTTTGGACACATTTTAATGCTTTTTAACATGCGAGCTTCATACGCCATTGGTCTTGATAGTAAAAGTGGGCTGCTTGACACAATCTGCTGCTTCACAAAGGCTCATTTTATGTGCTGACTTTGGATTTGGGGCAGAAAGAGGGAAT